GGGTCGGAGCCAGGGTCGTGGCCATGGAGCTTGTGGAGGCAAGGCCGAGGACAAGGAGTGGCTCCCAGTCACCAAGCTGGGCTGCCTAGTCAAAGACATGAAGACCAGATCCCTGGAGGAGATCTATCTCTTCTCCCTGCCCATCAAGGAGTCTGAGGTTATGGACTCTTTCCTGGGAGCATCTCTCAAGGATGAGGTTCTAAAGATCATGCCCATGCAGAAGCAGACGCTTGCTGGCCAGCAGACCAGGTTCAAGGCATTTGTCACCATCAGGGACTACAATGGTCATGTTGGTTTGTGAAGTGCTCCAAGGAGGTGGCCACTGCCATCCGAGGGGCCATCATCCTGGCCAAACTCTCCATTGTCCCAGTGCGGAGAGGCTACTGGGGGAACAAGATCGGCAAGCCCCACACTGTCCCCTGCAAGGTGACCAGCCGCGGTGGGCTCGTATGCCCCTGTGCCCAAGAAGCTGCTGCTGCTGACTGGCATCGATGACTGCTACACCTCAGCCCGGGGCTCCACTGCCATCCTGGGCAACTTCGCCAAGGCCACCTTTGATGCCATCTCCAAGACCTACAGCTATCCGACCCCTGGCTTCTGAAAAGAGACCATGTTCATCAAGTCTCCCTATCAGGAATTCACCAGCCATCTCGTCAAGACCCACACCAGAGTCTCTGTGCAGAGGACCCAGGCTCCAGCTGTGGCCACATCATAGGGTTTTCATATGTTATTTCAGCAAAAATAAAGTGAATTAAGTCTGGGGAGGGGGCAGTCTATGTGTAGTGTTTTCCTTTGATTTTTTAAAGATGTTTTAAAATTTGGGGGCCAGCAGGTGGTGTGGGTGGTTAAGATGCAGGACACTTCTACATGTCCAACCACAGTTCGAGTCCCGGATCTGGAGGCTTGCTTTCTCACTTTCCCTCTTTCTCTCTCTCTCTCTGTGTCTCTCTCTGGTCAAATTAAAATAAGAAATGAATGAATAAATAAAATTAAATACATAATTCTTTTTAAAAAGATGTCTTAAAATTTATTTTTGTAAGTTGGCAGAGGGCACGTGTCCTCACTGGAGAGAGAGACAGACAGAGAAAGAGAAAGTAAGAAAGCAAGCCACCAGGTTTGGGCCTCAAATCATGGTCTACCATGTGGGAGTTCACCTTAACCACCACACCACCTGCTGGTCCCCATAGTATTTTTCTTAATGCACATTTTCTATGAACTGAAGGTCTCCTATACAAGGGTACTTAATGAAGAGTTACTTGGAATAGGAATAAGAAACCTATAAACAGAGCTGACAGCTTTTGTGGTAGTTAAGGGTGCTAGACTCCCACGTGGCCGACCACGGTTCAAGTCCTGGAGCTGGAAGCTTGCTTTCTCACTTTCTCTCTCTCTCTTTGACTCTGTCCCTCTCTGGTCAAATTAAAATATAGATAAATAAAGTTCAATAAAATCATGCTTTTTTTTTTTAAGAATTTTTTTTCTTTTTTATTGAGAGATTACTATAGGGAACATGCGCTCAACAGCAAGACAGAGCGGG